CAAAAAAAAAAAAAAAAAAAAAAAAAAAAGATCTAGTGTTGTTTCTTCTCTAACTTTCATTTGCTTGGAAACCTTAGGTGTGAATGCAAGTGCATTTATACCAAATCCTGCTTATAAATAATTATGAAAATGAGATAACTGTTGGGATTCCTAATACAGACACTCTCTAATGTTCAGTCTACATCCAGCTAGACAAATCTACACAACACATTTACCAAAGAATAAACCATGTTTTAATTTAAAATATTTGGCTAAATTCAGAGCAGTTTTCTGTAGTTTTACCCGATCAATCAATGATTTTCAGTTTTGATGTCCCATATCTAACTGTCCCCCAAATTTTGGCTAATGACAATAAATACAAAAGCCAGGGAATGTGCTGGATGACAAGGAGAAAAATAGGATCTGATTTGCAATGTGATCTCAAAGAGTGTAAATAATATAAAATGCTATCATTTACCAAGTGTGCTAGCGCTTGTACTAGTTTCCTTAATGAGGTTGGAAGAAGCGTGCCTGAGGCATAAAATTCTGATACTATAATAATATGTGGAAAGGATAAAAATCTCAGGTCATAGACCTTATCTGTTGAGGCTTGGTGCTTTGAAGGTAAAGGTTCAGCCAATTATTAGTTATTTTCAGGAATATGCTAACCATTGGACAGTGTTTAGCACAAATAAAACTAATTGAACTACTCAGACTACAGTACTACTCAGAGCTGTCTATGGCACAATATGATACAGACCAAAAAGGTGATTTGAAGATGTGCAAAGAAGATGTGAAGAGAACAAGGGAATGCTATGCAAAGTGTTCTTTTGGTTACCACTCCTCCCAATTTAGTTAAAGGGCTGTAACCATGGCAACTGGGCCCAAATAAAGTGAAGGCAATGATGGCCAGCTTTCTCCCTGCAATGATAAAGCTATAGTCATCTCTTTTTATAGCACGAGGAGGAAAAAAAGTTTCTGTTCATCTTATGCAAGGAACAACAAAGGTACTTAAATATTATTTCAAAGGTTATTTTAGATTTGGCAAAATCTGTGAAATACATTTAAATGAAAGCTTAGTGAAGTGACTTCCATACATAAATCTGCACGTTACAACACACACACACACACACAAACCACAAATCATAACACAGACTGTGATTAATCAAGTGATTTCTCTAGTTACTTTTCAATACATAATAGTGACATGCGACTTTTCAAAAGTAGAATGCCAAATTGGCACCTCTAACAGTCTTGTGGTAATGAGACCAGTAACCATACCTTTTGGCTAATATCTCTATAAAATGAGAAAGGAAGAGAGTGTAGGTGACTCCCAAATCATTTTTAGGATGTCAAAACTTGCTGACTTCTGGTCCTATGTCTAGATCTAGACAAAATAAGGTACAATTGAAAAAAAAAAAGAAACGAAACACAGGGCTGGCTTATAGCATAGGTTTGGAAGTGTCAGTTCAGCTATTTCTTTCTTCCTAACAATGTGACCCATTATTCCAAAAGTTACCATCACATGAATGGCCCTGACTATTCCCGGATGCACTGGCCTGGCAGATGGGCTTTTTGCAGTGATGGATAACAATTAAATAATACTAAAACCTACATGACTATATTCTAAATTCAGAGCTATAAAATATGATTTAAAGAAATATAAACAAGTAAAATATTTTCCTAAAAGGAATCAGGGCTCTTTGGAGAAGTGGCTGATTCTAGGTCTGAGGCAAGAAATAAACTAGATGAGCTGGGGACATTTTTCTGCCAAAAAGTAATAATGTTATTAAAGATCACTTTGATCATATCAAAGGGCACAGGAAAAAAAAAAAAAGACACAGGAGTCAACTTGGAGGGAATCTAAGATGGGACAATTTAAGCATTAAAAAGAATACTGACAGTAATAGACTGAGATAATTCAAATTTATTATAAACACTGATAAAGGGAAATAAACCATATATCTTGCTCTTCCTGTATAAATGCATTTTGAGGGGTAACTGAATAGTTGAGGCAAAGTTGGTCCAGCTACTAAATGGAGAAGAAACAATAGCATTTCAGCAGCATAATTTTGCAACACCTAATGAAGTAATGGACTACACCATCATAGTGGTTGGCAAATTATAGCCCATGTACCACATCCAGCCCACTGCCTGCTTTGTAAATAGTTTATTGGCTCACCCTCATGTACTGTGTATGAATGCTTTTGTGCTAGAACTGAAAGTTAAATAGTAAGAGTTACCATTAACTTTTTCAGTGTGATAATATACTTGTGGTTGTATGTGTTTATCTGCACTGTTAAAGATACATACCAAAACCTGAGACTTGCTTAAAAGTACTCCAGCAATTAAAAAAAAGGGAGGGGATAGATAAAAAGAGACTGGTAAAATGTTGATAATTGTTAAAGTTGGGGGATGGATACTACAGAGTTGAATATACTATTCCTCTCTATTTGGGGTTTGTTTGCAACTTTCCATAATAAAAGTAAAAATTTTTTAAAATAACGGACAGATACAGTGCATTCTTTGGACGTACTTCAACCGCTAGGACATTATTACTCACCTGAAGGTCAAAATGGTATATTAAAATAGAAAATGTTCCACAATTGTAGGGTCACAGTTCTCCATCTGGGGCCAAATGAGTTTCATAATTCATTATTTCTTGGATTTTAGAAATACAATATAGTGTATAACACCCATAATCAAAATAATATGGTGTTTAACACCCAGAATCAATATAATCATAATACAGTATAACACTCATGATCAAATACAACATTTCTGCAGTGAAAGTAAGTATTCATATTAAGTGGAATAAAGATTAAATTGCCTCATGTTAGTTAAGATCAACTAGCTAAGGAGTTATGACAAAACCTTTTAGATTTTAGAACTTTCTGGATTTGGGAATTATTGATAGGGGTCTATAGACCTGAATTATAGTACTATATGCTCTTATTTCAGTGACTCTGAAAAGTAACAAATTACTTTGAAGCTAAAATATTAGTCATTCTTTGGTAGCCATGGGGGATTCGTTACAGGACCCCCCTCAGATACCAAAATCTGCAGATGCTCAAGTCCCTTATATAAAATGGGGAAGTATTTGCATATAACATAGGCATATCCTCCCAGACACTTTAAATCATCTCTAAATTACTTATAATACCTAATACAATGGAAATGCTATGTAAGTAGTTGCTTTTTGGAACTTTCTGGAATTATTTTTTAAAATATTTTTGGTCCGTGGTTCACTGAATCTGTGGATTTGGAACCTATGGGTACGGAGGGCTGACTGTAGATATTAAGGAATAAATACAATTAGTTTTATTTATCTTGGAAAAATCAGAGAATAATAAAGAAAAGAACCTTTTGCAAGTTACAGATCTGTAAGTGCAGCATGGATTTATGGCAGGGGAAAAACTGTTCCTTTGGACACAATTATGATCCTGGTGACACTGCTAGTGAAAAGGGCAGGACAAGTGATGGACTGACTGTCCTTTCAGGCAAGTGTCAAAGCTTTCTGTGGAACCAACTTTTCTAGAAGCAACTGTAGGATAATATTTTGCCAGTGGTTCATAATAAAAACAACAGGTTAACTCACCAACTTAGGCTTTTATTGCCAGAGCCCTACACTTTCTTAAAGATTATGTTTCCCATTGTTGGAACATGCCATTTGGTTGACCACATTAAATCAAACTCACCTGAAGCTCTCAAGTCTACTATTTCCCTGGGATGTGGTTCTTCTCAGGACTTGTGACTGCCAGACTGCCTGGCTCAGGAAGGTCATCCTTATTAGGAATTTGGAAGACAGGGCTGCTTTTGATCCTGTGCCACCCCAAATGTATGAACCCAACTAGAGGTACCATAACAACCAGAACTTTGTAGTCTCTCCAGAATTTCTGAAAGCTCATAGTGCTTCAGCATTAGTGCACCTAAGAAAAGGCCAACAGTTAAAAGAAAGAAAATTTAAAAAATCCCTCAAATTACATCTATATATACCACCACAAGCAGAATATCGCACTCTAATAAAAGCTGCCTGTTAAAAGTTTTTAGTTACAATACATTGCAATGTTAATTAACAAAAAGAGACATTGTAGACTTAAAGGGATGGCAGGAAATCAGGCTTGGTAAGCTTATAGAGTACTACTAAACGTTTAGTCAGAAACTGTAATGGAGCAACATTATCTGCTCGGAAAGCCACTGGAATCTTTGGAAACACTCATGCATCAAAATCGTTTTCTGGGCTTCCCTGGTGGCGCAGTGGCTGAGAGTCCGCCTGCCGATGCAGGGGACACGGGTTCGTGCCCCGGTCCGGGAAGATCCCACATGCCGCGGAGCGGCTAGACCCGTGAGCCATGGCCGCTGAGCCTGCGCGTCCGGAGCCTGTGCTCCGCAATGGGAGAGGCCACGGCAGTGAGAGGCCCACGTACCGCCAAAAAAAAAAAGTTTTCTTCATTGGTCCCCAACCTTCTTGGCACCAGGGACCGGTTTCATGGAAGACAATTTTTCCACGGACAGGGGTGGGGGGTAGATGGTTCAGGAGGTAGTGCGAGCGGTGGGGAGCGGCAGATGAAGCTTCGCTGGCTGGCCACCACTCACCTCCTGCTGTGCGGTCCAGTTCCTAACAGGCCTGGACCAGTACTGGTCCACGGCCTGGGGGGTAGGGAAACTTGGTTTTCTTTATATAATTAATTATACTTTCTCTGAACCACAATGAAGTTAGATTTTTAAAAAAATATATTTAGTCACAATTTTTACAGAAGAATCAAATGGCAATCCTTAAATATGCAGTAAGAATTCAGATTCTGCATTCTGACAGGATGTGAGTGATGATGCTTCGACTGAGATTGAGTCATGCATGGATTCCAATTGTAGCAAAAGACTTGGTTTGGACTCTATGAATTAATGCCATTTCCACATTTATGTGCTGAACCACTGCATTTTAGAGTGTTTACCCTTATCGCTAATAACTATACCCTGCAGGGGTTATTGTCAATCCAGTTTACATGAAGAAATTGGGGCCCGTAACTTGCCTGGAGTTTCAAAGCTCAGTAGTATTGCGAACAGTCTTTTTGTTCTATCTTTGATTTGGAAAGCATGGAGTGTAGCCCAGGAAGTCTGTTTCTGATGATCCGCTGGGTTTGGGAACTTGAGTCCGTACAACTGGACTCCTTATACTTTTTCACTTAAGGGCACTCACTAGGATTTAGTGATTAGCTTATAGACTTGTGATGCTATGAATGGACCTGCTCTCCAAGTTCCTTTCTGGGCACAGGACAGTAGGACTGCTCCTTCATCTACAGGATAAACTAAGAATTAGGTTCAATTGCATGTATATGAGTTTCAGTATCATAAAATTTCTTACAGTAATTTTGTGTGAATGCCTTTAGAAAAATGCCTGGATGGAATTTTCACTTATTCCTTCCCTTTTAAATCAAGATTAATATACAGGACTAATGAGCTAAATACCTAAATTGTCTCTGTGTTCTGTATATACATATTAGAAAAACAGAAGGCTTAGAGTTATGCCTATGTACATATATTACTCCCAGCATTAGAAACCATTTCTCCTTGAGGTCCAAATTCACATTTAATAAGGACTTTGTTGCTAAGCTTAAACAAGTTACTAGATGGAAAAAACATGGCCTACTTTGTAACTCCAAGTATTTTATGCTTTTTTCTTTTCTAAAGTGCTTTGGCATCCTATACACTTCTTGCAGCCTTTAGAGACCACATCTTTTATTGACATGCTCATGTTCTATCTTCGGAAAAAGTCAATCACAAATAACTGTATCATGATTACATTTCCTTGCGAAGCCCACTGTGCAAAAGCCTTTGGGACATTTGAAATTTGAGGAAACAATAAAACCACTGGGGGAGGCACCGGGTGACTCAGAGTAAGTAATGAGGGAAGAACTACAGTAAGGGTTACTTCCTAGATGGAAGGAGGGACTGAGGGTACACCAAAGTCAACCGGCTTGTGTTGACTGATAGGTGGCATTTTTGTCCACAAAATACCTTGAATTAAAGGTTTAGAAGATACTGTCCTTCACATCCAGTCTCAATACCTACGGTGACTTTAACACCTCCAACTCTGTCCCTCTCAACATGAGCTTATCAAGTCACAATACTTTTCATAGATGGCATCTCTGCTCTTCACTGTTTACTTTTCATGATCACTAACATATCATCACTCATTATTTGTTACTTTTTCCTGAGTTGCAAACTTTTAGGAAAACAGTTTACAGAAAAGAGTCATTTGGATAAAAGGATATAATAATAAAGTTGACATAAATAACTCAGTAATTAAAATTCATAACAAATTAAAGTACCAGCTATAACAGCAATGTCTGGAAAGTGTGGTACTATTCTCTCCATGTAGGTCACAGGATGAAATGTGATGTATTGAGAACCTTCCTCAGATTAGGATCAAGTTAGCTTCCTGTACTCAATACATCTTTGGGTCATCGCTGTGTTAAGGACAAAGGAGGGCACTCCATTTTGTTTATGTTGTGTTTAACAGACTACTATATATATATATTGTTTTGCGGTACGCGGGCCTCTCACTGTTGTGGCCTCTCCCGTTGCAGAGAACAGGCTCCAGATGCGCAGGCTCAGCGGCCATGGCTCACGGGCCCAGCCGCTCCGCGGCATGTGGAATCTTCCCGGACCGGGGCACGAACCCGTGTCCCCTGCATCGGCAGGCGGACTCTCAACCACTGTGCCACCAGGGAAGCCCAAGACTACTGTTCTTTTCCACTAGAATAACTTAAGGATCTATGCATCTTTTTGTAGATTTAGGTTTAGTTAAACCTGGGAATTAGTACCTATTTTGGCTGAAAACTCGTATTTGCCAAATTACCACTGAGGCCCAGTAACAGCACTTCCTGGTTAGTAACTGATGTGGACTGATTTAATGATTAATTGCTGTAATATTTGCTCAACATCTACATGCCCCCATTTCCTCAAATTCTCCATATCTCACACATTGATTTGGCTAATGGGGGTGAGAGAGCAGGTAACTATTTTCTGATGATTATCCTGTTGTCCTTTGAGAGGCTTGGAAAATTATTAGGATCAGGATGACAGGGCTTTTTACTTTACAAAGTACTTTCACAGTCTTCACATTTAAATCCACATAAAAACACTGAGTATCACACCATCTGCATGATAGTCCATCTCCACCAAGCAAAATGGACTATTTTTAAATGGCACAGTAACCTTCACCTACTTCATTTCGCTTAATAGCTTTCCAGCATTTTACATGTATTCTGTTGCTTAAATAACCCATATTCTAGGGCCAGACAAGTTAGACTTCACTAAATAAGGCTCATTGTTAGTTGTAAGAAGAAGACAACAAATCAGTGAAATGATGCATTCCTTATTTTCATATCTTCTTGTGGAGCTTTTAAATACAGTCCATATATTTTGGGGATAAAATTTTGATTTAACCCATTTTTTTTCTTCTAAAGTCTTTTCGTGGTTTTTTTTTTTTTCCAAAATGAAAATCAGCATTACTGCCGTTTTCTAAAAAATATAATATTGTCTTACTTTTTTAAGTTAGAAAATACAGATGTAAGAAAAAGAAAGCTAAAATATCTGTAATCATTTTGGTTTTCACAAAAATGTGATTAGAATATACATGCTGTTTTGTAATCTTTTCTTCCCGTAAGAATACAAATCTTCATTATGACTTTCAGTGGCTGTATAGCTTTTGATTTATGGCAATACCCTAATTTGACAGATCGCTGATAGAAATTTGAGATTTTTTTCAGTGCTTTATTGCTAAACATGCTAAGAATAATAAGTATTCTTGTAAATTCTCCAGAGCCCATGCTTATAGCTGTTACATGTTGCTTCTCAAGATGATACAAAGTCTTACTAGAATTCCTAACAATTAACTCATTTTTCTTTCTTTTCTTTTTTTTTTTTTTGTGGTACGCGGGCCTCTCACTGTTGTGGCGTCTCCTGTTGCGGAGCACAGGCTCTGGACGTGCAGGCTCAGTGGCCATGGCTCACGGGCCTAGCTGCTCAGTGGCATGTGGGATCTTCCCACACCGGGGCACGAACCTGCGTCCCCAGCATTGGCAGGCAGACTCTCAACCACTGCGCCACCAGGGAAGCCCTAACTCATTTTTCAAATGAACTTACGAGAAGGTTTTTAAAACCTTGACTTTTACAAAGGTTCTCGGTGCTGGGCAGCAGGGAGACAGGGAGCTCCAACTTGGGGGATGAAAAATGAAGCTAGATACAGCTTATCTTAAAATGGTCCTTCCCCCCAAACATTTGGCAAAAAGTTATTCCAGGTGGTATGGAACTATTTTATGGACTCGAGAGATTCCTGAGTCTGAAAAAAAATTTCTCAAGAATATGCTCAACATGATCAGATTGTTGGGCAATAAGAGGATGGTTTCTAAAATAAGTTAGTTCATTCACTGAGCCTTTCAAGTTTTCTTGGAGTAAAGCAGCAACAGAAATAACAGCAGGAAGACTTCTTTCCTCTCCTTACCCTCCTTTAGTCTACCTGACACTGCCCTTATCTTTCCTGAATCTTATTTAAACACACTCCTATAAAAAACCAAATAAACAAAACCAGAAGGTATGGAACTCTTTTGATGGAGGAAACCAAGAGAAAGGAAATGAGATTAGTAAATTTTATATTAAGTAAAACAGAAAGTAGATGTTTATGGTTTTATCCATTGAAATGCCTTTTGTTTAGAAAATGTTTAGAGGCCATCAACACAGATTATGCTTTCTTATACTCTTCTTTCAAAAATGTATACTTTGCATTATTCAAAAGGTTTCATATTTTTTCTCATTTTGTTTTCATAGCGATTTTATGAGACCACTTTATACATGAGGAAATTCTAAATGATTGATTCCAAAATTACTGTCAGCTAATTGTGGCACTCATCTTAGATTCTGGAGTCCTAA